TACGATCTCTGTCTGTCAGTCTGTTTGCATTTATACGATCTATCTGGCTATTGTACGATCTCTTTCTCTGTCTGCTATTGTACGATCTATCTGTTTATCGTACGATCTCTGTTTGTCTGTCTGCTATTGTACAATCTATCTGTTTATCGTACGATCTCTGTCTGTCAGTCTGTTTGCATTTATACGATCTATCTGGCTATTGTACGATCTCTTTCTCTGTCTGCTATTGTACGATCTATCTGTTTATCGTACGATCTCTTTCTCTGTCTGCTATTGTACGATCTATCTGTCTGTCGGAAGATTTCTCTGACTGTCTGCTATTGTACGATCTATGTGTTTATCGTACGATCTCTGTTTGTCTGTCTGCTATTGTACGATCTATGTGTTTATCGTACGATCTCTGTCTGTCAGTCTGCTATTGTACAATCTATGTGTTTTTCGTACGATCTGTCTGTCAGTCTGTTTGCATTTATACGATCTATCTGGCTATTGTACAATCTCTCTGTCTGCTATTGTACGATCTATCTGTTTATCGTACGATCGCTCATTCAGTCTGTTTGCGTTTATGCGATCTATCTGTCTATCATACAATCTCTCTGTTTGTCTGTCTGCTATTGCATAGTCTATGTGTCTATATTGTACGATCTATCTGTCTGTTGTACAGTCTGTTTAAATACAGATCTGTCTATCTATATTTGTTTATAATTAATTACTAATGGTGCTGCATTCATTTATACTAAGCATGTGCCAATAAATGCTTAGCATATGTACCAAATGTGCCAAAGCATGTGCCAAAATAGTGGTCAGATAATTTAATATTTTCTGTCTCTATGTAAAAGTGGAAGCCTGATTTCTGCACCAAACCAGCGTTTTCATTTTCACCCTGGAGAGCTGATGGGCACGTGAACCTTTGTTTCCTGTGGGCAAGAATGTGATGGGATTTTTGAGATGTGTGATTGGCTGCTGCTTACACAGGCCTTGCACTGGAAACAGGAAGTTAAATTGGGTGATTAAAGGGTATTCCCTGTCTGTGAGTTAAGTTGAGTGTGTTTGAGACGGAGTGGACGTGAAATATACAGCACAAGGTTATCAGGATTTGTTTTCTGCTGTCTGTCGGACATTATGAAGCTCAAAAGAGTGGAGCAATTATGTCGAGAGGTTTGGAGGAGCTGCTCGCAGGTCTGTGTTTCTGTTCATCATGGACTGCTTATGATACTTTGATATTTTCATTTTAGTTTGGACTGCTAATTTTTAATTAACAATAATATTATAATTAATTATATCGTGACCATAAATAAACAAAACAAATGAAAAAAATAGAATAAATAATAATATTAAAATAAAATGAAATAGTTTTGTAAAGTAATTCATACTTTTCTAAAATGTATAGGTGCTTCGTAAGTATTTCTTACTTTTTTGTAATCTGGCTGTGCTGTACTGAAAAAGCTTGTCCAAAAATAGCAGTATCATAGTTGTAACTTTTAGTCACATTAATGCATCTCATGATTGATTCATGCTCACAGGTTTTGTCAGGTGGTCAGTCTTTGTCAAGCACCTCTCGAGAGTGGAAACTTGAGGTTGTAACTGCGACAGAGAAAAACATTTCCCATCAGATATTATCAGCTGAGCATCTGCCCGCCTCTTTCCTGGCGGATCAAAACAAAGCGCTCGACCCAGATACCTCACGTGTGCTTTTATGTGACTTGTTTCCATGCATGATACGAGGGGATGGGTATCTGAACAAATACAGTGTAAAGAGAGTCTATTACAGTTCCTTTCCTCAACTTCCCCTATAGAAAAGAAACATAAGTGGTGTATTCTAAGGCAAGTTTCACTAGTATTATTGGTTTTGCATAGCGTTAGTGATTTGAATAGGCCCTTAAATGCTAGTTACTAAAAGTTGATAAAAAAGCTGATACAAAATCTTAAGTAATTTGAACACGTCCTAATGATGACAATCAGTGTTCCTGATTGTGACTATGAGCCTCTTAATTTTCTCACAATTTCTGCCTGATAAAATAGAGCTTAGCTTAACCATAAAAATGTAATTTAATTATGAAAATGCACATTTTATTACATGGCTTTTCCAGGTCTAGAAATCACACTTTTAAAATTACACTTCCTCATTTATCCAGGTTTTCCAAGAATCCTGGTTCTTTAAAAGGAATCGGCAGTTGTTGAGAGGATAAATTAAAATGAGAAATATCTTGACGTTGAGCTGTTTTAATACTTGTCTTGTTTTAAATCATTTTAAGTCATCTTGAGACCAACTGTTGCAGTCTTGACGGGTTTTTCTATTTAATAAAGCATGATCTGATGAGGTTGTTGAATAGAAAGTGAATGGATTGGGAATTTATATGGAAGTAGACTGTGAAATCACCAGTTTCATTTCACACGTCAGTTCAAGAGGTACTTCATCTACTGGATCATGATAACATCCATTTATATATCAATATTAAAGACCTAAACTTGGTAATAATCCACAGTTTAAAGTTGGATTCACTTCACTGTAGTGGAATATTCCCATAAATAAGTTTGGATTTGGTGATCAGAAATGAGTTTTACTGTTAAAAGCGCTCTTGAATGTGTTTAGCAGTGTGTAGTGGTGGTGAAGCAGTGTATTATGGTCCATCATCATCTTGGGATATGGGAAAATAATGAGGCAAGTTTTCCGTCCAGATGTAGGAAACCAGACCATCTTCAGATCACATGACTTTGTGTTTGAAGTGGATTTTCATTGGCAGCAATGCCTTTAGTTATTCCAGTTTTATAAAGTTCAGTACTGTTGGGTAAAGACGGCATCTCGCTAGCAGTCTTGAAAACATTCTTTGCCTTAATTAATAAATTTATTTTTTTAAATGAAGCAGAATTTTTAAAATGGAATATGCACCTGCTTCCAAATGACTCTGACTCCAGATTTCTCTTCCTGTCTTCACGCATGGAAACATCTGTAAGCCGTTTTCATGTCTGTCTTTCAGCTGGATCAGCTGGTGATGGACTCCACAAAAGAAAGGAAGGATATGGAGATGAAACACTCGACTATTCAACAGAAGGTACTCCAAACATTAATGACCCACAAACCCCAGGCCATCGCACACTGTATAGGGCCAGTCAGAAAATATGCATTGTTTAGAGCAACATGAGGCTTTGCAGCACACTGATGAAAGCTGAATCCAAGCAACAAAATCATGTTGAAACAGAATATCCTTCCCTACTCTCCTCTCCTCAGGGTTTGAGCTTTAGAAATGATCTAAAGTACACAAAGTGAAGTTTTTGCCTGATATACTGTGCACAGGTTTATGAATAAACAAAGTAATAAAGTTGCTGTTATTACAGTAGAGCCATTCATCTTTCGGTAGATTAGGACCGAATCCTCACCCATGGCACGTGCAAGTGTGTTTTATGTAGTAGTAGGGTTGTGAGGATAGCAAGATTTCAGTAGTCAATACCAGTTCTGCTGAAATGTCATTATTCTTACCACAGCAGTTTACAATACATTGGCTAGTGCTTTAAAAATTGTGTAAATGTGCAAATTACCCCTAAAGGTGCGGTGTCGTTTTCCTTTGCATGGTGAAATAGAGAATTTCAACAAATTGAACCCCATTCAACAGAACTGAACACAAGTGGAAAGCCACATTGCACGTTTTTCTGTGAAATTGAGAATTGTGAGGGTCTTCTGGTGGCAAAATTTGGTAATTCTCAATTTTGCCAAAAATTTCATCATGTGGATTTCAAATTTGGTTCATATTTGTTAATCATTGAACGGTTTGCCTAGTTATCCCATAGAAAGCAGATTGCTTTTGAAGATGTAGGGGTGTGCGATATTTATAATCTACTATTATATCGTAATTGTTGTTTTAACGATGTGCGAGCTGACATTATCGAGTATGTCACTCGCTTTGCAAAAAACAAACAAAAACACATCGGTCCAAAAGCATTCACTGCGTGATGAAGCCTATTGGAATGCAGTTAGAATTAGGGTTGTGACAGTGAGGAAATTTTCCCACCGGTTAATCGACGAGTGACAACACCGGTAATACCGGTATCACCGTTGGGGTGGGGTGTTAGTTCGTTTGAGTTTCCCTCTTTTCCCTCGCTTTCAAATAGCTTGTAAAAGTGCCGTGCATATTTTACTTTCACTTTCAAATTAGCGGCAACTGCCGCAATTCGGCGTCAAGCAATTGTTCGTTTGAGTTTTCCCTCTTTTCCTCTGATTTCTTGGCTTTCAAATAGCTTGAAAAAGCGCTTTACTTTCACTTTCAAATTAGGGGCAATTCAGCATTGATTCAATCAAGCAACAACAACGTCAAACTCAGAACTTTTATTAACAAAACTAATAAAAATACACCATATAGGCCTATGCCTAATAAAATAACAAATTACTTAGGCTACACAAAGTTTAAATAGGTATATAAAACTGAAAATCAGCTAACACTGTGGAACCAAATAAATAAGAAATATAGAACGTTTATTAGCAAAACTAATAAGAAAGCTTGGAGGCACGGCATATACACCTTGATGTAAAATAAAATAAACACAGTTTAAATAAAGTGATCAGTAAACACTGTGCAACCAAATAAATAAGAAACGAATGTTTAAAAAAACTTCCAGTCAATAGGCTTTTCAAAATAAAAAATATTGCCAAACAGGCGCCTTTGCATTTCCTTTCTAAACAATCTTCTGCCATCGTCTTGTCTTTCTCACCTCACTCTTGTCAGTCAGCTCGACTCACTCTCCTCACGTGATAAATAAAATCTGACTCCTGCTCCGCGGTGCACTGTTGTTCGCGCACGGTCCGGCACGCTGCATTGAGCGTTTAGTTTTTAAAAGTGTCTGTCCTCTAACTGAACTAGGCTAAATGATTTTTGTTACTATAAAAAAATCTAAACAACGGTGGGGGCGGTGCCGCGGTAGGCAAACGTAACCGGTGTAACCGAAAACACCGTCTATCGCAGCAAGCCTAGTTAGAATGATGTCCGATGTTTTTATGAAAGCAAAAATATAGCCTTGTATAGGTTTTTGTTTTTATATATAGAAGATATGATGCTATCACACAAGTAAGAGTGCCGTTTACCAAATATCAGTGCGCGAGCGCGACACAATATTGTCAGGGTTTTTTGTTTGTTTTTTGTTTTTGTTTCGCCAATGAAACGGAGCAGAACATTTGTGCATCTCAGAGCAACAGTGATGTTTCTTTGTTAATGATTCTTTTTTTTAACAAATCAATTGAGTCAATGATTCAATTATCCATTTATAAAGACAGCCACTTGCATTGTTTCTAAATGAATCAGTTGTTTTGAATGAATCGTTTGAATGAACGATTTAACGAATCACTGATTAAGACAGGGACTTGTCGCCACCTACTGGTGGTTTTAGTGTCATGTCTATTTATCCATGACGGGCCTAAACAAGCCAAGGTATTGGCATAAAAATACACTCAGCAAAATATCCTTCAATTATCGTTATCGAAAAAGTCCAAAAATATATAATTGTTTGTCAATATCACACCCCTACCTCGTCGTGCTTTATGCGTCACTATCCTATGGACACGCGACCTTGTTTGTTTGCGAAATGTTTACCAAATACCAATTGAAATCTCTATTTAATATTGTAAATGCTTCATTTATGTCCTGGAGACGCTTGATAAAACACTGAATTAGTGTATATTCATCTATCACTCCATAATGATTCATGCGCTTGTGCCACAGTGCAGCTTGTTCTTCAGCTCATGTGAAGTGTGACTCTGTCTCTGTATTTGTGTTGTCCTCCTCCTCTCTCTCACTCACTCATTCACTCATCCTCTCTCTCTCTCTCTCTCTCTCTCTGGCTGTGTTGGCAGTTGTTAACCTGCTCTCTCTTCTTTTCTGACTGCTCATATGAGGCCGTGCTGCAGGTGAGTCTGTCCCTTCTATATGTATCAGAAATTACAATTATTTGTAGAAATTACAGAAATTACTGTCCCTTCTGCCTCTCCGTCTGAATGCTGCATGAATCACCATTACACTGATACCTGCGTTAATTATGTTCATTAGACATTCACTTTTATGTCAGTAGCTCATTTTATATGTAATCAAAGCAAAGGATTGTAATTTGATTGTAAAAACCTGGAAGAAAATGCTTTAAAAACACATTGAAGTTTGTTAATCACTGTTGTACTTGAAGGAGAAAATAGTCCAAACAGAAGTGAACCAAAGCGCACCGCGACTGTGTAAATGTTTAATGCTCTGCTGGGATTGGTGGATCCAACACATGAGCCACAGTTAATGAATTCATTCATCGACCGCACACACACACACACACACACACACTCACACATGCTAGAGCTTTCCTGAAGGGGAGGAGCCAGCAATAGATAATAAGGCTAATGCCCGGCTCAGTCTGCATATACATGGATGTACATAAACACACACAGTGCGTAGAGGCTCAGTGATGGTAGACGACCCTGACAGGACAGTCACAATAATGATTGGGAGTTAGATGCAGCGTCACTGCTCACACACACACACACACACACACACACACACACACACACACTGCTCTGTCCGGCATGAAGATCTTCAGCAGGTTTCACTATGTGTGGTATCTGGTGAGTCAGTCGTTTTTAATAGTTCATGTTAATATTCTTTGTCTCTTTTGACTTTGAGCGATGATGAATGTGAATGTGACATCTTTTATGTATCTACTGATCAAATTCTATGGCTGTGTTTGAATGAATATCAGTTTAATGGTCAATAACTAATACGGATGTCCGATATGATAAAGAGATGATAACATTATTTTGAAGAATAATTTCAATTTAATAACTCAAAGAATGTCAGCTTTGTGACCACCAAGTAAAATACAGTAATATATATATATATATATATATATATATGAATTCATGTTCCATTGTCACTTAATGTGGACACATTTTCAGTCAAATAAATAATTGTATTATTTTATTATGCTTACTTTATTAATCTATTTAAGAATTATTTAAGAATTTCAGCCTTTTAATTATACTTTTTTTTCTTGGTATTATCATGACAGTTTTGACTTGCAAAAAAAAAAATCATGCTTATCTTAGAATTGTTTTAATTCTATTTAAGAATTATTAAGAATTCCAGCCTTTTAATGTTTTACTTTGTTACAATTATGACAGTTATAGACTTCATTTGTTTTATTGCAAAAATGGAAAGTATGTTCATTCAAAAAATCATCATGATCTTCAGATCACTGACCCTCAAACTTATTCCACTTCATTTAAGTATTTATAGTATTCAGTATTAATAGTTGGAAGAGCTGCAGGTACGGTAAGTTGCTCTGTGCGTTGATAACAGCTGTAGCCCCATTCTTTGGTCCCGGCACCCTAAATATATTAAGCGGCCCGGCTCATGTATCAGATCATGGCTGCTTGATCAAGTTACAGAGAAATGGAAACCAAATCTGCTTTTTTAATAACAGTCGGTGCTGTTGTGTTCATTTTGCTCGCCCTGCTGTAAACATACAAGCCAAGGGTCATACTGAAGGTCGTGGTCTGTAGTCCACTTAGAGATTAATTTTTTAGATAGATCCAAAAAAGTGAAAAATAGCCCAGTTCTGATAGCTTTTACACTGATACTGGTCTTAAAAGTGGATTCAGATCTCATTTTAGCCCACTTCCGGTCTCAGTCCACTTTCCATTCACACTGCAGATTTGTTGTAACTCTTTTTTGTAACTCTATTAATTCATAGTATTATTATTTTGCTGTTATTTAATTTTTTTATATTTATTTATGTATTTATTTTATGTTTATTATTGACTTTTTTTGTTTTTTTACAAAAATAATGCAATATAAATTGTGCAATAGTTACATATTTCTGCAACATTAATAAGGCTGGCCACATAAACCCTCAGGTTATTAGTTTGATAGCTGAAATATGACCTTTGGAGTTTCTCTGTCTGTTTTACAGAAACATTTCTTGGTAACACTTTACAATATGGTCCAATTTGTTACCTAATTTGCATAATTCATGCATTAGGTATCAACAGCAAGCAGAAGATCTGTACAGCATTTATTAATCTAAATGAATGTTCATTTATAAATATGCTATTTTTATTCACATTTGTTCATAAAAAAAGCACATTTTTTTAAATTTGACATTTTAAAATGTATGATTTATATGTACAAAAATCCTAGATTAATAAATCTTGTAAAAAATATTGTTGTATTAAGTATGTATTATCAAGTACTGTAATCTGTTAGTATTGTTGTATTATATTATTAGTGTTTTTTTCTTCTCATTGTGTCTCATTACTTTTCTCTGGTAGCATGTAAAAAGGAAACATTTGAATTGTTTGAATTGTTATAATTAAAATACAGTGAGCATTACACTCTCAAGCATGCTTAAAGAGGGGCTGAATTATTTCAGATCATTCACTAAGGCAAAATTCATGCTAACCGTTCTCAAACTCCTGAAATTAACCAAAACTGCCCCAGTTTAAGTTTTCTGTAGGTGGCTTTGAAGAAAGAGTCTGCTAAATGGTCGACTGTGTGTCTTCTGGTTTGTGGGTTCTGTTCTCCGCTGTACACCGGAGATGTGATGTAAGATCTGTTAGTAGTGCGGTCTAGTGCAGATCAGACTGGATTCCCGCAGCAGCATGCAGGTCGGGCTGTAAACGAACCTCCTCTACTAGTATGTCACTCTTATCTGTCTTCAGCTGCTTGAGCTTTCACAGGCAAAAACACAGGATTCAGTGACGCTCTAGTGTTACTGGGGCTCTGCTAGTCTGAGCTCAGCCGGTCTCACATGACATCTACAGGAAGCAGGATCTTTGATTGTTCTTGTGGTGAACACCAACCAGTGGCCAGAGCGGCGTATCATGATTTCTTACAGTACTGTGATGTTATGCCCAGATAAATTCACCATATGTAGAGCTAATTATTGGTGGTTTTGATCTTAGTTGTAAGTTTTGGTCTGTTGGTTTTAGTTTATAGTCTGAAGGTGTCACACTTACAGTTTCTCAGCAAAATTTTGTCAACAAAACCCAGTCTTTTCAAACAGAATCTGAGCAGTGAAAAGTTTATTGGGAGAGCACTGACGTTTTGTGAGGAAACACAAAGTTAATTTTTTTAGTACAGTAGAACAGTAGTTTTTTTGTTTTTGTTTTGTTTTACACAAAATTTTACTAATGTGATTAATGTTTCAAGAAATATTTCACTAGAAAATCCTGTCATTTTACTCATGTTGGTCCAAACCAGTTTAACTTATTTTCATCTGAGGAGCACAAAAGAAGAGCCTTTGAAGATGTTCATGCTGCTCCATTCCATAACACAATGTAACAAAAATGTGTTTCCCTTAAAGTGCCTTGAATATTACCTTTCATGCAGTGTGTCATGTAGCTGTATGTGAACATAAACTATCTGCAAATTTGTGAAGCTGACATTGCGCGATAAATAAAGTTATTGCCTATCAAAAAAAAAAAGAGTCGGCTCGCAATCGCCTAAACGAGTCGTCATGAATTCGAATCTTATTCTGTTACGGCTCTACGTCACGAAGTAACACATTTGCATAATGTCCGCCCACGTTCTACGTCGCCATCTTGCTCGCCCACAAACAGTAAAATTTCCGTGTGGTTAACATCAGACGCTGTATCCTACGCTGTAAGAGTAAATTTGTTTTATCACATCTTATAATTACCACAAACTTGTTAACACTTGACACTTACCACTGAGAAACGTCCTGCTCCAGAGAATCAGTCTCTTGTCGATCAGCCAGTTCAACCGTTTCATCATCAGACTCCGGCTCGAATTGGTAAGGTACAATCGATACCATCTTCTCTATGTATTGACAAGTCTCCAGGGCTGTCATTCCGTCATGGCAATGTTTCGTTTCCGACACGCGCTGTACGCGGTAGACCAATCCAATAGAGCCAATCTCTCTACGGCTCTGGACCAATCACAAAGGACTGCGCCATCTGACCAATCACAGCAGTGAGGGCTCACGGAAAGGAGGGGTTTAGAGAGACTGATTCTTTGAACTGCTTCGCACGAGTCGTTTACGAATCATTTAGAAATGAAGTAAAATTAAATCTATTTTTTTGAGAAAACGAATGTGTTTTTTGACCTTGCATGCATGTAAACCTGTTTTAGGACACTCATAAAACAATATAGCAACATTAAAAATGGCATAATAGGGGCACTTTAAATGTTTTATGGTTCTTCTGTAATTCTTTGGTGCTAATTATTATTTAACTATTTATTTTCACTTGGCATCAATATTTAGGAAAATATTTAGGTCAGGAAAATTTTAGAACTTCTATCATTAATTGTGAAACATTGGATTAGTACAGATAAGTTTAAAATTTTGCTTGTGGTTTTTTTTTTTTTTTTTGCTTTTGTTTCTGTGACATTCTGTAATATTCTGTTTACAGAATATCATTGTGGGACTAGTCACAAAAGGCAAATCATCCAACGTACACTTCTGAAGTTTTGGAAGACTCACTTTTGTTAACTGCTTATGTTAAACTTGTTGTTAGCTCAGTATTATGCATGTACCATGTAATTTTATGCATGAGTAATAACGGATGGAGTTGTCAGTATATATATATATATATATATATATATATATTAGCATTGTTAATGATACACAAGAAGTCATGCGATTTTCGTATGCAACATGTCAAACTTCATAAAGAAACATTAAAAATAAAAGCGAAGTAAAACTTTTATAAAACATAGTTTCACTGTGAAATAAAAGTGAATAGATATTGGGCTTTTGAGCTTCAAAATAACAAAGAAAACATCATAAAAGTAGTCCACTATATTCTGAAAATCTCCCCTTCTGCTGGCGCGCTCAGATAAAATATTACTTTATTAGACGGGCTGTGTACATTTGTAAATGTAACATTTGGTCATGTGACGCTCAAGAGCCAATCATGTTTGGCATCGATATACTGTCAAATGGCATTGATTTGCCATTTCTGCTGTTTGTATGACTTTTGTACTAGTTTCAGAAATGTAAAAAAAAAAAAAAAATCCAGTCCGTTTTTCTTGAAAGAATTAAAGTCATTATGAGTTTGGAACAACATGAGGGTGAGAAATTGATGAACGGATGAACAATGCCTTTACATTAACCTTGAATGCAGTTTAAGTCACTTTGGATAAAAGGGTCTGCCAAATGCTGTAATGTAAATATAAAGATCTGGGATGGTAACCAGAAGGTTGTAGGTTTGAATTCCATATAGTAATTAAAATGTTATAGCTGTTCACTTCAGGTTTCTTCAAGATCTGACAGTTGCTAAGTTCAAGAGTCTTGATGATCATAGCAATATTAATAACCTGACTAGATAAGGGAAAAAATGGTTGTAATGTTTCTGCAGCCAATCAGTTTATTTTATCAAATAATTGGGTGTGCATCATGTGGGATCAGCCTAAATGTGTGTGGAGTGTTTATACAGCATGCGTATTAAATATAGATATTGACTAATAATTACTGTATTAACGCCTAAGAAGCTCAGTTCAACAAGTTTGATTTCCTGCCTTTTTTGTGCTCAGGACTTCTCAAATGACGACACCAAGCTGGGGTACAATGTGGACGCAGAGAATGGGATCGTCATGGAGGGATATCTGTTCAAGAGGGCCAGCAATGCCTTCAAAACCTGGAACAGGTCTGAGACGAGACAGAAAATCATACTGTGTCCACTTACAGCAGTAACTAATGGCCTATTTACTGGACAGCTCCAGGTAATCACGTATACATTGTTTTCTTTGCAGGCGATGGTTCTCGATTCAGAACAATCAGCTAGTGTACCAAAAGAAATTTAAGGTAAACATAATATAAAGAACACAAGTAATTCTAGCTTCAGCTGTGCGTTCAGCACTCTTTGCGGCGTGTTATTTCAGGATAACCCTACGGTCGTGGTGGAAGACTTGCGCTTGTGCACTGTCAAACACTGCGAGGACATCGAGCGCAGATTCTGCTTCGAAGTGGTTTCTCCAACAAAGTGAGTATAAGCACACAATTCTGATTCTCATAGCAGTTATGCTGCATGTTTGCAGGGAACACAAGCCACATTTACTGTTTGAACAGCTGAATTACTTAAACAGAAAACTAACACGCTTTAATTATTTGATTATTTAAATGGTAAGTGTCATTTCTGTGCCACTAGTATCAAATTAATAACTGTTTTGGAACAAATTTGCAGTTGTTAATTTAATGATATCTATTTATTTATTTATTTATTGCTACATTGCTGAGATGGTGGAAATTATTGGGAATAAAACACCAGTGTATAAGTGTAACTACTGAAAATAGTTCTCACTAATTGAAATCAAGCTGAAATAAAATAGTTAATAAATGGTAAACAAATAAAATAAAATCTATAAAATAAAATATAAATGTTAGATTGAAAAAAAAAAATGAAAATGAGAAACGTTGCCCTAGAAACAAAGTAAAATTTGAGTTAATTACTAAAATGACTAAAACCGAAATTAATTGTTTAAAAATAATAATAATAGTAATAAAATGACGAAAGCAAACTAAAACTAAATTTAAAATGAAAACTGAAAATAAGAAAAGTGATTTCAGAATATAAATAAATACTACAATAGTATAAAAATAATACTAAAATATTAAATATAGATTAAAATGTTATATTTCACTTTAAAACAAGACAAAAAACTGATTAGTATGATTATTTTTCAGTGCATATGTGACACTGTACATATGATTGTTGTTGTTTCTGCTAAAGGAGCTGTATGATGCAAGCGGACTCTGAAAAACTCAGGCAGGCCTGGATCAAAACCGTCCAAAACAGCATCGCCACAGCCTTCAGGGACAAAGCAGAGGACGCCGAGGTACTGCAGTTTCTATTTCATCCAGCTAATTAACGGCAGGCTAGAGATGCTAATGACGGCGGCCAGCGCTTTGATAACAGTGCGATGTGTTTGGCAGAAGATGGACAGAAAGTCGTCTGCATCTTCAGGCAGCTTGGACTCAGGTGGCGAGGTGAAGGAGAGGAGTCTGAAGGGCGAGAGCGCGCTGCAGAGGGTCATGGCCATCGGCGGGAACAGCAGCTGCTGTGACTGTGGACAGCCGGAGCCACGCTGGGCCAGCATTAACCTGAGCATCACGCTCTGCATCCAGTGCTCGGGCATACACAGGTGAGTGTGAGTGTGAGTGTCTGTGTCTGTGTCTGTGTCTGTGTGAGTGTGAGTGTCAGTGTCAGTGTGAGCCTCTGTGTGTGAGTCTGTGTGTGCGTGTGTGAGAGTGTGAGAATGTGTCTGTGTCTGTGAGTGCCTGTGTGTGTGAGAGTGTGTGTGTGTGTCAGTGTCTGTGTGTGTGAGTGTCTGTGTGTGTGAGTGTCTGTGTGTGTGTGTGTGTGTGTGTGCGCGTGTGTGTGCCTGTGTGTGAGTCTGTGTCTGTGTGAGTGTCTGTCTGTGTGTGTGTGCCTGTGTGTGTGTGTGTGTGCGCATTTTTGTGACAAATGAGGACATAAATTTCTATAATGACAAAGGTATAACATAGGTATTACAAGGAGAAGGTGACTTTTCAGGACATTACCCCATGTCCCCACTTTTCAAAACGCTTATAAATCACCCAGAATGGAGTGTATTGAAAATCTGAAATAGCACAAAGTTTCCTGTGAGGGGATGGTTTA